AACGGGAACTCAAGGAGCGGGCGCAGGAGGCAGCAGGATCCGCCCTAAACCTGGAGCCGCCCTATTCCTTGAGCAGGGTCACCTTTCAACCCAAAATGCCATGCGTCATTCCTACTTGGCTGTGGCTCTCAGCAAGAAGAGAAGCTGGGACAGAAGATGCTTCCAGAGTGAGGAAGAGACCCATGGGGCTGAACACTGTCGAGGGCTCACAGGAGTCATGATCAGAGAAAGAAGGTCCTTCTAGGGATGGAGATAATAGGAAAAGCTCAGACTTACCTTGTCTTTCCCGGAGTGTCACGCAAATAATGACAAAGTGTAACTGGTGGGCTGTGTTTGGAAGCACACTGATTTGGATGGTTCAAGATCACAAAGGGTTTCCTCCCCCGTGCCAGGGTTTCTGCAGATTGTAAAGGAGGTGAAGAAAACAGACTTTGCTTCTTAATGTTGCCAAGTGGGTTGGTTAAATGCAAATGCAGAAAAGAGCACCTTCTCTGAATTCAGAAATGCGTGAGTAGAAATAAGAGAGACCTGGTCCTGAATGTCGCCCAGTCAACATTTTGTTCCTATAAACTCCCACCAGAGAATCATTCTTTTGACTGACTGACAGTGCAAAGAACACCACGTTTGCCCTGGCTGTGCTAATAACCTCAGTTTCTACCTCTGTGAAGTGGGCATCATAACACATCTCCTTTCTTGAAGGGGACAATACACGTGTGCTTTGTGAATCACGGAGGGCCACGTAAAAATGCAGAAAAGCACAGGAGGCCTTGCCACCACTCGTTCACACCTCAGAAGGAGATGGTTAGACTCCTGAAGGAAAGGATAGAAGGCACATGGGTAACGTGTGCCTGGTCAGTGGCATGAAGTGGGATGCCGCTGGAAGAAATGGGCCTGCGGTCACCACAGGCAAATGTGGGTCTGCTTAAACGTGGGTCTGCTTCAGCGGTTCTCTAATGCTAGTCCTGCTGGGGCACTAGGGTCTCACTGTGGCTAGACAAGGGACAGCTCACTGGGCTGCTAAAGGCTAAGTCCAGGTCACTGCTAGTTGGTCCAGATGCCATTTCATAGGTGACCGTAGGTCTGTGCCCCATCGTGGACCAGATCCACAGTTGGGGCTTATCACAGGCCTACTCAGAGTGACTGCCTGTCCAGCCTCATGTCTGAGGTGTGGCCGGCGTGCAGGATGTGCTGTGGACACAGCTGTGGGCTCCTGGTGGGCAGCTCTGCAGTGTGGCCTGCCTGGCAGTGGTATCCTGCCCTCCGCAAAGGGCTGGGAGTCAGGGAAACGCGGCCTGGGAAGGCAGCCAGACATGTGTTTTCCTAGCACAGTGCCTCGGCCAACTTCGAAAACTGCCAACTGCAACTTGAGGACTGTACATTTTGAGCTCTTGTTCCACCCACATTTACCAATGCCTCCTCCCCAAAGGAGTCCTTTTTTATTCCTTAGGATTAGAGTGAATGCATCCCCGTGTCCACCTACAGAAAGTACATGTAGGGTTAAGAACCTCCCTGGGGGAAATGTAAAGCCGAAGAGACAAGAGACGGGCAAGGTTTATAAGATTCCTTTAAGCTTCCCAGACTATTACAGCACTTGTCACACTGGACTCCATTTTTTGTGGGTGGGTGGGTGGTGTTTGTTGGTTGATCTATTACATTTGATCTTGAGCTCTTTGGGGCAAAGTCTGTCTGTGTCTTAATCACATTTGTATGCTCGGATTCTAGCACAGAACCTGGAACAAAAATAGGTGTTCAGCAGAGGTTGTAAAGAGGAGTCGACCAATGAAGGCCTTCTCTTGCTCTCGCCCACGCCCCGTCTCCATTGCCAAGTGGAGTTGCCAGGATCCAACATCAGCTTCCTTTGGGGTGCGCTTGCTTTGTGGACCTGGGCCATCGGCCAGAAATGCAGAACACAACTCTGTGGGCTTTCCTGTCACAGCAATGCAGGTGTTCCCAGTGAGAACCCCCAGGAATGCCCATGCTAGGCTGGGAAGCCGCCATCTTAATTCTTTGTGTTTCACTAATTCCCAGTGTATTTGTACAAAAGAAGATAATTGCCTTGGCCCCACCTGGCAGTGGCAGTAAGTCTGAATGTCCGTGGAAGGAAGTGTGTTGTAGAAATCGTGAAGCCCCAGGAGGGTTTTTAAAAAATTGTTTTGAAGAAACACCATTTCTTTTTTGTAACTCCAAACCTTTAGAAGATGAATGACATAATTGAGGCCTGTGTCACATGTGCTAAGAAGGACTGATGGATGGGTAACCATTCGAATGATAAGGAAATGTTTCTGATAGATCCATATGGGACATAGGGCATGTAAAACAGATTTTCTTTGCACTCTCTGCTTTGATCCTGATGCTTTTATTGAAAATCTGTTAGAAAGGGGACATTCTGAGGTGTCATATCAGATTGGAGAGAGGCCTGGAGTTGGAGTTGTAAGGCTTGGGCTGGGATTGTCATGATCACTGGGTAGAGAATGTGTCCCAAGCCTTGGAGCCTTGGTTTGCTCTCTGTAAAAGCAGAGGAATGTCTCAAAGGTTGTTGTGAGAGCAGAATAAATAAGGCTCAGGAAAGGTTCCCTAAAGCATTCATTATTTTATTTTATTGCCAATCAGAAGCCATTTATATCTTCTTTCTCCATGTCAAGGTGAAATTGAGATGGTGCCGACTACTTGCCTACTTTTCTTTTCTTTCCCTTTGTGAGTCCTAGAGGCTGATGTGTTCCCCCCTGGTCTGTCATGCCTGAAGTCTTGTCCTCCCCCAGCACCCCAAGAGCTGTAGGTGCACCCTCGTTCGCTCTGATTCCATGCAGGGTCTTTGAACACTTGTGTGTGCCTCGCTATTGTGTAATGGGTGGGTGCAATGTCCTGCTGCTGTCACTATAGATAGATGGATTCAAATGTTGTGCTTACAAAGGAATTAGAGTCGTGCAAGCCAAATCCAAGCCTGAACAAGATTTGATGTTGGATGAATGGTACAGGACGTGCGCTTTCAAAATTTGGCTTGAGTTTGTACAGAATGGTCATTTGAACTTTGTTTCCATGTATCCATGTGGAACATGAGAACAGCATTTTAATCTACCCTACCACATAGGAATGCCATGACAATGTGTATGGAGAGTGCTGAACTCTTTTGAAGCATGGTTATTTAAAAAATAACTAGAACCAGAGATACTGTGTGTAGATGCAGCCTGATTCACTGAGCTAGCAATGAACCACAGAATCAAGTTAGAGGCAGATTAGCAAAAGGTCACATTTTGGGTTGGGGTTGTGACTCAGCAGTAGAGCCCTCGCCTAGCACGGGCCAGGCGCTGGGTTCGATCCTCAGCACCAAATAAAAATAAAGAAATAAGATAAAGCTATTGTGTCCAAATACAACTAAAAAAATTTTAAAAGGCCACATTTTAATAGTGAATGAGCTGTCTAGTCCCACAGTTATCACCATTCTGTTTTGTTATGATAAACGAAGTAGAAGCATCAACCAGGAGATTAAAAAATCATCTGGAAAAAATAGTAAAATGTTTCAGGACAATAGTAGCAACAAAACACATTCAAAATTAGCTAGATGGAAAAAATCTTCAAGGTGCATATATTTTTGAGATGAGCAGCTTGGGAACAGATGACTATGACTCCTAGGTCAGTTTATTTTTTTACTTATTTTTGAAGTCTTTAAAATCTAAAAGTAGTGCTACCTTAAGTCTCTAAAATATTTTTAAATCAAACATGGACTTTCAAATTTGTAATCAAATCAGAATCGGGGCTTGTAAATGTTAGTAGTTTCGTTCAACACCTCAGTCTACAGGGTTGATTTTTCTGATCTATTTATCAACATACTAAGATTGGAAGTAATTTTGCATTGTGCTTCACTCTGAAATGTGCACCTAAGAAAGTTGCTGTATTAAGCAACATTCTGGGGAGGGAGATAAATACACATGTACCTCACACAGAAAGAAGGAAGCATACTCATTGATGAGCTTCTATAGATTATGCAATGGAAAAGTTTTATAAAATCTAAATCAAAGCGAGGAATCTTGAGATTACAGAAGTCTCTAATGGAGAGTTAACAACCAGGGTAAGAACAGTGTGCCTCTGTATACTTGCCAATTCCCTTTCTGCCCTCATCCAATTAATCAGAAAATCATCCCAGTGTTGAAGATGTCCCGGGAATCTCGGGAATTCTTTTGCCCCCACTGCTTCCTCTGGTCTGGGCATCACCTGGTCTTAACAGGACTACAGGAGCCTGCTTACTGGTCTCCACTCTGATCAAAGTTCTGGAGCCCAGACTATTTCTCCCTGTTTGGTGACTCTCCATGGGAGGCCTCATTCTCTTGGGCTGGTGTCGCCTGGAAGCTGGAGCCAGGGCCACAGGTTTGGCTTGGCTACTGTATTAGTCTCCTGTGGCTGCTGGTACAAGGCACCACAAAACTGGGTGGCTTAAGCAAGAAAAATGTCTCCTCTCACATTTCTGGAGGCTGGAAGTCAGAGATGAGTTTTCTGGACTGAAGTGAAGATGCTGCAGAGTGTGTCCCTCATAGGCTCCAGAGAATGGTTCTTTGCCTCCTCCAGCTTTGGGGATCTGTAGGCATTCCTTGTCTGCCTCAGTGGCCACACCTCCCTCCCTCCTCCTTGTAAGTACACACGTGATTGCCCTCCGTGTCCACCAGATGATCCAGGACAATCTCTTCCACAAAGGCTTAATTTAATCACCATCTTTCCCTCTTGTTAGGCAACACATGCAGGTTCCAGGGAAGAGGACATGGGTACCTTTGGGGGCGCATGTTTTAGCCACTGGTGGCTGCTGCTTTTCAACATCTGTAAAGACTGGGGAGATACTTCTGCCAGCTCCAGTTAGAAAAGTCCTGCTTGGATTGTGCTTGGACCACTTAACACCCCTTGGCCAGTATGGGAAGAAGACAGTTGAGGAGGAGTGTCACTTGGTCCCAGTAGGGTAGGGGTTGCTATTCCGCAGAGAAGGGCAGGGTGGGGAGGCTGCTGCATAGACAAAAGCCATAGCTCCATTAAACTGCAGCAGGGAAATATTACAACACTAGGGGGTAAAGAAGAAAATGTGTATTTATACATTAAAACGTCTGCAAACTGCCTGGGAACCCACAGAGCTTGCAAGATGAGTGAAGAAAGAACAAAGAAGAGGAAAGATGGGAGTTTCATGCCTGTCCCAGGTGCTCCAATTAGGCCATTAGGCAGGAGGTACCAGCCAGGTCTCATGAAAGTTTTTGTTGTTTCCTTTCAGAAAAGGGATTCTGGGTTTCTCTTTTTCATCAGTCAACGATTCACTTAGCAAACTTTTTCCTCTCTGCAGAATGATAAAAATCTGGTCAAGTTTTGGGTTGTCACCATGGAGAGTTGATCCACATTGCTCTGGGAGTTTCAGCCAGGTCAGGTCGGCTAGCAAACTGGTCTGTGGACAGCAGCTCGTGGCGCGCGGGAACACTTTCCTGCCGCAGGAATCGTTGTCGCCTCCAGGGGCGCTGCCAGCCCTTCCAGGCACAGAGCTGACCCAAACCAGGTTGGAGCTCAGGATAAAAGAGGCCCGAGAATAGTGTTAAAATTGCAGAAACGAGAGGAAGCAGGGCCGGTTAAGTCCTTGGCCTGGATCAAAAGGCATACTAGCCGATTGCTTCCTTTTCAAGGAGCGTCATGCGCTCCCCAGAAAATGACAGCCAGGAGCAACAGTGTAAGGACTTCAGAAAGCTCCTGTCGCGCGCGCTGGCTGAGTGGGAAGAGCGCGGGGAACCACAGCTGCAACGACGGTCACGTGCTGATAGAGGTGAAGGGTTCTGGCCCCGCTTCCCAACTTTGAAACTAGAGGTGTTTATTTAAGGGGGCAAAGTGCATTCCTAGACTTGGCAGCGACTGGATACGCTGGGCTACTTCCCAAACCAGCAAGTGAGAGTCAGACAAAGGGCAGAAACTTCTCTGGCCACTTTGCCCGACACAGCGACCACCGACTTTTCAGAACAGCCAAATAGCTTTCGGGACGCGCGGGGCCCCTCAGGCGCCCGCCCCGCCCGCCTGGGTCTGGCCCCCGCCGCCCCGCACGCCTGCAGGGGGCGCCCGAGCGTGGCTAAAAGGCGCGGCCAACGGCGGGCGGCCTCAGTGGCGAAGCCAGGCAGCCTGTGCGCGGCCAGGAGCGATCGCCGCGGGGCTGGAGCGCGGCGGGCACAGCGGCAGAGCGCACAGACCAGACGTACTGCGGAGGGGACCCGACAGCGGTGCTTCCATATTCCGCTGACTTGGGCCATTGCCCCTCGGCCAGCCGCCCGCGACCCCCGCCGGCGCACCCCACGCTCTCGATGGCCCTCGAGTGCGGGGCTGCCCCGCGCGCGCCGCGCCCGCTGTCCTGGGCGGCGCTGCTGCTCCTGGCCGCGCTGCTCCCCGTAGGCTCCTCGGAGGCGGCCCCAGGTACGCGCAGCGCCCGGGCCCGGCCCCCAGGCTCTTGGCACCCTGCTTGCAGCGTCTCTGCCCACCCCACTTGTCGCTCTGGGGACCCCTGCACCGCTTTGTGCTGGCTGTGTGTTTTGTCACTAACCTGTGCGTCCTTATCGCTCGGGTCGGGGAGCGCTGAGTTCAGGCACTAAGCGCTCTGCGCGCGAGGGAGCCACGGAACACCATCCGCACCAGGGGACTGCTTTTAACCCAATCGTCCAAAGCCTGGGGGTCGGGAGACTAGAGCCGTCTAAGTGCTCGGGGGAAATTCAGGCAAAGGACAAACCAAGGAAGTGGGGTGGGGCTCTGGGTGTCCTGTCTTTCTTTGCCCAGAATTTTCCTGGGGCGGTAGGTGGGCATTCTTTCCTGGAGCTCACCTGTCTTCAGGCAGGATGGCAGTCAGAGGGGGCCTCTCCAGAGAACAGAGGCAGGACTGTCCTCTGTGGGCAAGGGGAAGGAAGGCTAGCTGCCTCTGCGTTCCTTGGACCAGCCTCGCTCTTACCCAAGCCAAGCTGTGGGCAGCTGCAGTCCCGCGGGCCCCCGTCCAGGGTGGGAACTTAGGAGCTGGGAGAAGACTTTGTCTTGAGAGGAGGGAGAGGGAAGTGGGAAAGTCGCTTCCAGGAAACCTCACCCTTCCCCAAGCCAGAACCAGGACGCAAGCTTTCTTTGGGAGCAATGCACCTCAGAAGATGCCGTCGCGTTCTTGCACCCAGAGAGACAAGTCTGTGGTGGTTTTTCATTCCTAGCCTTTGGTGGTCCTGGTTTCTGCCTCCTGTGCATGCATTTTCACACTTGAAATGTGTGGCTTTTATATGTCATCAGTTTGTAGAAATCCAAGAAGACAATTTTGTTGATATTGCTCACTGCCAGCTGGATCACAAAAATTCAAATGCTATTCCAATGAGGGCTACTTGCTTTCGGATGCTATTTGGTGTCTGCATGGCTTTCTCACTACAAAGATAAAGGAAGAAAAGTTGGGGTACATAGCTTTGTGACTTTTTGGTAGGAAAAAGTGCACGTTGCTTGGCTCAAGTTTATGATGCCACATGCCACTTTTTCATAAAAGGTTGCATCAGCTGTAGGGTCCTTTTTCTCGATAGTGATCTCTAGGAACACATTCACTGCATATTTTGTGCAGTACTTGACAGAATAAGACTGTTTTAGTTTTCCAGCTTCCCCACCTACAGCCCGCGGCTTTTGTTTTTCCAAGTTAAAACTTTCTGAGTGTTGAAAGAGTTTTTGTTTCAGAAAATGGAATCAGTGCTGAAGAAGCTATGTGGAGAGTGCAGCTTTATTCTGTTTATATTCTGCTGCCACCTCCCCCGTGGATTACATTTGAGTGTGTCTGAAGTCGGGGTTGTTTGTGAGAGCTCCCGGATCCCGCCGAGTGGTGCGCGGTTCCTTCTTTTGCCTTTTTCTGCTCTGTAAATCACTGAGCTGTGGAATGTTGGAGTTGGAAGGCTTGCTGGCACTTCGCTCCACTGTGTTGACGTGGGATGTTCAGCAAAGTGATGACCAGACTAGAAATGGACAAAAGAGGGCAAGCACACTTCAAAATAAATATTGACCACATTTAAATCAAATCACAGAAGGACAGAAGCAGAGCAACCTCCAGATAGCCCCCCTGCTGGGGGAGGAACTGGGGGGCATGCGATTTATTCATGGGCCCCTTGGGAAGGCTTGCTGACTGTCTTGCCGTATGCAGCTGTAGTCACTGCTCTGGACTTGCTTTCCAGACCCTTAGCAAGGCTGTGGACACACAGTTCCCTTGCTCTCGTGAAATTAATGCATGCCCCCAGCAAGCGGCTATGTCAGTCCTTCCCCTCTGCCTTTGGGGCCAGATTCTCTGTAAGGAAATTACTCAGGGCCACAGTGATGGTGGAAGACCATTATAGCTCCAGGGGGACTTTCCCTACAGCAGAAGTGATTTTAGGACACACTAAAGATCTTAAAATACCTTGCAATTTGGAGTCAATTAAAAAGCAAAATAAAATAGACAAGCAACACCCACCCCAACCCCCATCCATTCCTACAATAGGCTACTATGGAAACAATAAAATTATGATGGTGCTTGCCATCTGATATATTTTCTGAACACATGGATACATGTACACATTTATAGTGAATATCTTGTGGTGATTAGGGGTGATTTTTTTTCTTCTTTATAACTTAAAGACCCTGTCAGAGAATCCTCAAGCGCACATTATTTAAAAAAAAATTAATAATAGGATGCCATCTGCCTCTTTCCCCTTGTTGACATTTGCACTGCAGGGACAAGAGGTTGGAGGTGAAACTGCTGGTGCTGACCATGAGTCAGGGCGGGGACACTATAATACACTAATAGTTACTGAAGTTTTCAGGCCTTTGCAGTTCAAAAAAGTTATGACAGTTTCAATGAAGAATGTCTTTGGTGCACAGTAAAATTAATAATTTCACTAAGTCTCTACCCTTGAACACATGTCAATAGTGACACAAATTAATTGTGAATTTTAAATATTGTGTTATCAAACATGTTAACATTTGGAAGATCTATATAACCAATTGTACCAATAAATCCAAATGGCCAATATATCAAGATATAGTGGTACAAAATGTTACATAGATAGAAAAAAGTGCAAGATAACCCAACAAATTTTTTCTTTCTTTTCATTTTTTATTTTATTTTATTTTTTGGTGCTGGAGGTTGAACCCACGGGCTTGTGTTTGGTGGGAAATCAATAATTTGCCACTGAGCCTACATACCTACATCCTCAGCCCTTGCTCAGTGGACTTTTCCCTTCCTAGACAGGTTCTCACCATATTGTCCAGGGTGGTTTCAGAGTTTGGATCCTCCTGCCTCAGCCTCCCATCCCAGCGATGACAGGTGTCCACCAGGGTGGCTGGGCCCTAAAGGAATTTTAAAGTGAAAATTCTTTACTTTGTTTCAGATTCTAGGGCACAATGAACCTTTAAGAACTTCTCCTTGGGCTGTGGTTATAGCTCAGTGTTAGAGAACTTGCTAAGCATGTGTGAGGCCCTGGGTTCAATCCCAGCACTGGAAAAACAAAACAAAGCAAAATGAAACAAAACCTCCTCCAAACAAAAATAAAACAAAAAGCCCAAGAAATTCTCCTTGATGAGTTTTAGTCTAGTATAAAAGATTTTCCAAAATTATCTCAAAAGGCTATTATAATACAATACTTTTCCAACTAAATGTCTGTGAGAGGCCAGATTTTCTTCAACCAGAAAAGCATCCTGCAATTGATTAAATACATGAGCAGATCAGAGACCCAGCCATCTTCTGTTAAAGGGATTTACCAAAACATAAAAACAACAACACTTTTCTTCTCAGGATTTCTTTCTGTTTTTTGGAAAGTGTAGTTATTTTTCATGAAAATATATTTTCATGCCAATATGCAAGGATTTATTATTGTTATTTAAAAACCAATGAACAGATACATATTTTATTTTTTATTTTTGTGTTGTCCTGGGATTTGAACCCAGGGCCTCCTGTGTGTTAGACAAGGATGCTATCACTGAGCCACATCCCCAGCCCAACATGTATTTTAAACTTTTTTAAAGTTTGATTTTTAGGATAGATAAGATAGACTGGTAGATAAAGATAGATAAAAACTCATATCCAAATTATGGGATTTTCATAAACTTAAGAGTGGAAAGGACTCTAGAGGCCAAAAATTTTGAGCCACTGTTATACAATTCACCTTTAAGAAACTTTTAAGCCACTGGTAGAGGGAAGTAGCTTAAAAATAAAGATGCATGGATTTGAGTCTAAGCACTGTCACTGATCCACTGGTGGCCTTGGTCCGCCATAGACCCAGGATAGACCCAGGGAATGGAGATTCCTTTTGCCTTTAGAAGTCCTTAGAAGCTGTCCTGTGGCCAACCTGCCTGCAGCTCTCCAGGCTTCCCCTCCACACTTGTCCTCTTTGCAAGGAAGTAGTGAATGCATTCATTTTCCTTTTGTCCTGTGCATTGGAGCCAAGCAGACAGAAGGCCTGTTCTCATCCACCGAGCACAGAATTCATTACTGTGAAATTAGAGGTTGTAATAAAATTGCAGAGTGTCAATCCATGTCCCTGGAGATTCATCACCAGACGATTCCAGAACATCTTCATTATGACCTACCAAGATTATTCATCTCCATACTTCAGTCACAAAGCCCTTTTCCCTGAAAAGAGGAGGGGAAGGGGTGAGAGTGGTGGAGTGAATGGTCTCCTATTGCTGTGTAACAGATGATCCCAGGCTTAGTGGCTTAAAATAACAGATTTTTTTTTAATCTTATAGTTTTAGGGGTCAGAATTCCAAAAGGCATCTCTCTGGGCTAAAATAAAGGACTCTAAAATCAGGTTGCTCTGGGGGACCATTGGGGAGCAGTCTGTTTCCCTGCCCTTTCTAGTATCTAGATGTGTCCACATTCCTTGGCGCTGGGGACTAGGAGGAAGCCAACCTTGGGGACATTACTCTTCCACCTCAAAGGGAGAGGGGCATGGGAGCCTAGAAGCAAGTGGTCCAGGAGTGACCCCATTGTCCTTGGCTGATTAAGAAATAGAGCTCTTTTAATAGTTCCTATGGAACTTAGGGATGCCTTAGGTTATAATTAAACCTCTTATCAGAAATTTTTATTTCAGTTAAAAAATGCAGAGCTGAGTTTTTAAGGCATAAAATTAAAAGAGAGAAAAGAATAGTTCATGTCTGTGTTTACTGTGAATGCATGAATGTCGTGTTAGGATGCACACTAAGGAATACCGCTGGGCTTTTGGGGAGGATGGGGAAGAATGGGGTAGCTGGGGTGCGGTGGTGGCTGTTATTTCTTCCACATCTTTTACCAGCGTTAGCAGACATACACGGGAGCATTTGGAACCAGGGAGGCTTTGGTTATGCATGTGATCAAGCTTCTTTTTTCCTTCCTCCTAAAAGCTGTCCTTGTATTTGGGACTTGGCATGGTCCTGCCTGGGCCTGGCGGACGGCGGCCCTT